TTACAGTACCTGGTATTCCCAAGCGGTCACCCATGTAGGTACTAACCAGACTCGACGTTGTTTAACTTCACTGTTCGTACGGAAACCGCTGTTTCAACGTGATGTGGCCGTAAGCTTCCCCGATCTAGGTTGTACAGGTTCATTGAAAACAGGTCGAGAAGTAAATGAGCACTTATAAATAAGGACTGTAAAAGAAATCCCTAGATATAAATAACAAAGAAAGATAAATCTACCCTCGTAGAGTTCGAAATTCCCTAACAGTTAACCGGTTCGAGAGCACGACGGCCAAAAGTTCGTCATAACGACAAAGATTGGGACTATAGTCCAAATGTAATTACTGATAATTCCCCATCTGAAAAATTGAAACTGAAAATATGAAATACTCTATATGTTTACATGGACTTGTAGACTACGTTTTCAAGTATGAAGTTTACCACTCCAGTTGCTTCTGATTTTTCCGTAACAGTTTTTTACAGGTGGTTAACTTTACACTTATGAATTCAGAGTTATTCTTCCCCTAGACTGGTTGACAGTCAGAGCTAAATCTACCCTGCTGTTGCCCCCTATCTCTAGGGAAAGTCAGTCAGTTATGTGACGATACATGACTGACGAGGCAGATTTTTCCCGCGGTAGGTTGCCATTTCTTTCTGTGATAGACCAGTTGCCATCCAAGGCTTAGAACCCGGTCTGTGTTTGCTATTTACCCATAGCTGGTGGTGGGAAGAAGAAGATACATACCTTTCCCAAGGGTATTAGCACGTAAGTGAATGTAATGGATACGACTGGAATTCGAAATCGGCTCTCCGATTCCTCAATCCGAGACGTTATCCATTTCTCTACTGTGCCTCCTTTGACAAAGAAAAAACTGATTCTTACCTTTCCAAGAGGAATTTTGGGAAGGAAATGGCCTTTGACTGAAATATGAACTCGACCGCACCACACCATACCAATTTCTGCATCGATAACCACTGCACTACGCACACGTCCCATAGTGCATATATATATATATATATATATATATATATATATATATATATATATATATATATATATATATATATATATATATTATATAAATGTTGATTTTCTACTGTGTATTCAGTTTTTCGGAAAAGAAGGTGCTGGAAATTTTTGCAGATATCTAATAAGAAGAAATGGAAATACACAGAAATTACGTGTGTGAGTTTTTTTTTATGCACAAGGGCGTATTTCTGTTGAGTATAAATCCTCCAGTCGACGGTCTTATCTCTTCGTATCATTGATTAAGCGTATGTACATCTGTGTGCGTGTGTCTACGTGAGTGCATCTATGTGTGTGTATGTGTGTTTGTGTGTGTGTCTCTCTGTATGTGTCCTCACGTGCATATATAATAGGATAACGACGTTCAATGAAAAAAAAACTTTTTTTTTCCCCATGGATATATTTCGAGCATTAATCAACATATAAAAATGGAAAAGTGGCCAACGAAAATATATTGCCTTTCTATAAATTTTTCCATTCTTTTTCATCTGAAACCAACTTACTCATGCCCCCGAGAAACTTGCCAAAATTAAAAACATAAATTTCTTTTTGCAGTCAAATTGAAATTGACAAAAAGATGACTACTACATTATTTCACTTGTTTAGGGACAATTTTATACATATCTATCTATCTATATATATATATATATATATATATACTCACATTATATATATATATATATATATATATATATATATGTATATAATGACTGTAATTTTATAGTCTTATCATTAAGGGAAATATTTCTATATTTGTCTCTGAAGGTATTTTCCAATTTAATTTTAAGTGAGAAATAATGCTAAAGGCACAAAATTGCAGATTGGTGTGAATTATTAGATAAACTGTGATTTTTATTATTTACAATTGTCATTTTTATATCCCAAGTCTGAATAAGGTAATATATATTAATTTAAAATGTGTACGCGTATTGTTTTTGGGTGTGTTTATCGCTTCTTTTTTATTGCAAAAAAGGCACCTTTTGTCTGTTGTTGTCAAAACTAAATTTTGAAAATAAACCCACCTTCTAGATTGTATTTTATTGTACGGTCACTTTATTCAGTTAGTCACCACTCCATCTCACAATTGTGGTTAATTCAAGACAGAATAGTGCAATGTCAGTTCCTTTTACACCAGGGGATGTTGAGTTAACCTCTCAGAGGTGGATTTGTTTTACAAGTTACCTTCTAGCCTTTGTCTAAAGAGGCAAGCCCTACAAGGTGCTTTGAATTCAGAATTTCATTCTCCTAGACTGGTTGCCACCCAAGGCTATATAACCCATTCTGTCATGTTTTAAGCTATGTAAATCAATTTAATTAACTAGACTGGCATTCGAACTCAGCTCTCTGATTTCTCATTCTGAGCCGCTAGACATTACTCCGCTGTGCTTCACACTATACGCCTTTATAAATACAAATACGATATATATATATTTACAAGTAGATAGGTATCTAACATTCAGACATGAATGAACTCGAGAGTAAAGAACTTATTATTCTAAAACAGGTATATATCCAGATATAAACCATTATTAGAGAGATCATATCGGTAGACCATACCTTTGCGCTGAGATCTCGATCTACATGTATTGTAAAGTCTTAAAGATTGTTCTAGATTCTAGAGCGATCCTTCACAGTAGGACCTCGCAAGTGCTTCACTATGGAGTCATACATTTTTATGTGTCATGTCCTTTGAGGACATGAGAAATCGCACCTATCTGTCTTTTGCGGTTTTATATAATTTTCACCGTTGAACATGCCTCTTTATCCCTAAACTGCCAACCATCCTTAAAAAAAAACCTTTAGGCAAAGGCTAGAAGGTAACTTGTAAAGCAAATCCACTTCTGAGAGGAGAGACGGGGTTAACTTAACGTTCCCGGTGCAAAAGGAACTGACAAGCCATTGCACACTTGAATGAACCACAATTGTGAGATGGAAGGGTGTGGTGATTTACTGAATAAAATGACCGTACAATAAAATAGAATCTACAAGGTGGGTTTATTTTCAAAATGTACTTTTGACAACAATCGCTGTTCCCGCATCTTCCTTTTGTCTTCGTTATATCCTTTAAGTGTTAGATTCTCTAGGTCGTCTTTCCTCATTAAGTTTACTTGTTCTTATTTTCCTTGAGATTTACTTGTTCACATGTTCAATCCATAACATACTTAGAAGAATTACATCCCTGACCCTTCTAGTCTTTTCTTCATCCGTGTGGTCCCGAAGTAAGTTGCCATATAGTACAGTTAGTCTATAGCAGTTCAGCATTCTTTTCTTTGGTTCTAATAATATTTTTATATGTTTTAATGCTTTGCTTATGAAAAGAAGGAAGAGATTATCTTGCATTCATCCCCATATAAGATCAAATATTCCGTAGAAGTTCATCACTATTTTTTTTGTTTCTGAAAACCGCAATTTGTAATAAGTTAGCAGTAAGATCAATCCTAAAAGCTCCCCACTTGAGAATTTGAACAAAAACTATTCGATTTTGAAAATGTTTATTTTAAATTTTAGCTAAACCTGTAGCAAGGCCATTCTCATGATGCTTTGAGTGTCGATTGAACCCACGAGCGAAAAGGCCTGTGATATGAACTTATCAACAATATTGTCACTGCAGGTTCCCATATTTTTTGTTTTACGAGAAGTATAGGAGCTTACAATAGCGTAACATTAATTATTAAATTTAATTAACGAAATTTACTAAGTTTAATTAAAGGTGACACAAATTCACCAATTACAGTAATTAACGATGGCCTTCGAAACTACAAATACTCCCATCATGGAACGTTATTATTTATTGATTTGTTTGGTTAACCGCATATCAACTCCTTATGTCTCATTTAATGCCGAAATTTAATTTTCTTCGAGCTTTGAAATTAAAAAAATATATATGTTATTCTGCTTTCACAAGTTAATACCTGGTATATGATACTCAGCTTTTGTGCATATAGATACGTTTGTGGACGTGATTACTATAGGTTGTTTTATGTAGTTTTCTTGAAGTTATATTTTGAAGTAGAGTTTGATTTTTATGAAATTGTATGGTATTATATAGATTAATATCATGAAAAAGTTATTTCATGTTTGGTTGATTTTGTTTAGCGGCATATCAGCCTCTATGGGTTATTTGATGTCGAAATTTCAATATTTCAATACAATTTTTATAACTATATTGTGAACATAATTGCATGGCTTCAATAACAGGTGCTACGCCCCCGAATTAGGGTAGATCTGGGAACAATAGCAATTAACATGCAGTTCTATGTTCCTCAAAACCTTCAATCTTTCAATCAGAGGCTTTGCTGCCAGATGGAGTTTATCGTTTATGCCCATTGCACAAATGCAGCTGATCTTAATGGCGTGGAAGAGAATATTTTGGTTTTGCGAATTTGTTAACATTGTTGCAGAACTTTTCTGAAAATTGCAAATACGCAGTTAGGTTGTTTTATATAAACATCAAATCTTCCAACGACAAATATACACATTTGATAAAAAGAAAAACGTATCGTGAATTGAAAATATGACTTTTTTGCTTGATCGCATCTAAAATAAATAGATTGCCTTTATTTCGGGTAAACCATCTGGAAATCAGTGCAATACTGATTGTCTTAGTTGTAGAATATTATGATCTGCTTCTCAGCCATATTAATGACCAGTTGTTTTTCGCTAAATTTATGGATGGCTGCATCCAAAATCCGTACTTTTAATTTGGCTTGAACATCGAGAGAAATATTAGAAGTGTGTAGGTGTTTCGAGTATTTTCATTTTAAAAAGAAAACCGGTTTTTTACCACGTAAACATTATTTAGCCTCTAACAAAAGGCAACGATGTAAACATTGATCCACACATAAGCAGAAATATTCCAGATGCTAAATCATAATTGAAGTGCTGTCTCCCTTCAAGATGTGGGCGATCATGTCTCTCCATAACGTTCTCTCGTATGTCTAAGCAGATTTCGCTTCCCAACACCCAGTTTTGCCCACTCTCGATCATCCATTTAATAAAAACCTATTAGGTAATTCGTTCGCTGTTCCGCCCAGCCCAACAACTCCGTCCTGGGTATGACGATAAACTACATCTGCGTCCTGGGTAAGACGAT